ATATACATATATCCAATCCCTATAAAAATAAAAGCTATTATACATTTCTAAAGTATAGCAGTCTGTACTTTGTATCATATTATAAGCCTAGAAAATTAAAAAACAGAAAACATTCCAAAGCACTTGATTTTTCTGTCTTCATGTAAGGCTGTTAGAGTGACATTGAAATATGATTTAAATTTTTTTTTGTAAAAACAGAGAATGGGCAAATTTTTATATTTGCATAGAATGCATGCAATATTAAGTGCCTATCCAAGAAAAGAAACTGTTCTTTCTAATTAAGGAGAAAGTAAAAAGAAACTGCCAACATTTTCATGTACTGCCTGGGAGTGAGGATGCCTGCTCTTGTTCACTCTTCTGAAGCCAATTTACAATTAATTGGTGACCTTTCACATGCAAACTATTTCTGAAGTACTCTCAAGACAAAAGTACAAGAGGAGGTTAGAATATTAGGGGCCAGGGATTTAGCTCTGTGGTGCCACTGCCTGCCTCGCAAGCACAAGGTCCCAAGTTTGACCCCTGGTACCAAACAAACAAACAAATAATAGAATATTCTAGATCCACTACATAAGAGATTTTGTATTGGATGCCAAATACTTACTTTTTTTTTCTACCCAGTTATAAATAATATCAAGAGTAATAGACATGCTTCAGTTTTGACTGAAATGACTAGACTTTACATAGAATTCTTTTTGCAGAACATCAAACCTCTTGACTTTTCCCACCACGAAAGACAAAATTTTGTGCTGAACATTCTTTGACAGTTCTAAATTCTTCTGCTAACTATACACTAGCAAAAGGGCCTCTGGCACCCAGCTTTCTTCTCATCTTTTAAAATGAAAATTCTTTTAGAAGCTCTTTCAGGTGCTCTTGAAAAACATTACTCCAACTCAACAACCACTTAAAAGCAATCCTTTCACAATAAAACTGTAATAATCTAATGATTGGAAGTATTTACCCTTATAACCAATGTTTCATTTCTCTATAATATCCAATAATACATTTACTGCACCAATTTTGTTATAACCAAAGAATGAAAAGGGAAAAATAAGCAGGATTTTCATAGGACAGAAAGAAGTATACCCTTCTTAACAAAGAGTCACTTCCTTGCTGGACTGAAAAATGACAAAAAATGAGTCAAATACCTCTTTGGAAAAAAATAGCCTGCAGGGCCTTCACAGCTGCTGCCATAAGAATCAGGATCAGGACTGCCTTCATTTTTAAATGTCTAAAACAAAAATATATTTTCTATCTTATTTATGCTTTAATATCTTTTATCAAGGTTAGGGTATTGAGTTTCATTATTTACTAGGAAGCTTATGATTCATAGTATTTACTGTCCTTGGTTGTATTCATTTTTTTGTAATGGCAACAGATGTATGTGGTAAATAAATGGTCAAAATAAGGTGGCAAGACCAGCATCACAGAGCCTAACTCTGAGAAGGCAGTTTATGGGCCATAGAAATAATATTTACTTCTTTTAAGATTCTTTGTTCTTTAAAAATCATGAGAACATTATCTTTTCCATATCTGCATAAGTTTCAAGAAATATTTTCAGCAACTCCCACACTCAGCCTCTGGTCTCTAGTATGACTTTTTTTTTTGAACCAGGGACCAAACTCAGGACCTTGTGCTTGCAAGGCAGGCAGCAGAACCATTGAGCTAAATCCCTGGCTAGGATGACATTTTATATACTCTACACTCAAATTGGGAAGAGTTTCATT